GTGGGCACAGAGATGTTCATTGTAACTACTTATTATTGTCCATTTCATCAGTAGTGATGACTCCTGTTTTATTTCATATATTAGTAATTTGTGTCTTCTCTCTTTTTTTCTTGGTTAGCCAGGCTAGAGGTTTCTCTATTTTATTGATCTTTTTAAAGAACCAATTTAGGTTTTGTTAATTTTGCCTACTGTTTTCCAGTTTTTAATTTTATTCATTTTTGTTATAATTTTTATTTCTGCTTGCTTTAGACTGAAATTGTACTTTTTTTCTCTAGCCTCTAAACATGGAACTTTAGCTTATTGATTTATTATTTTTCTTCCCTTTCAATATGGGTATTCAATGCTATAAATTTCCCTCTGACCACAGCTTTCACTACATCAACAAAGTTTTAGAGTTCTATTTTCATTTTCTTTTAGTTCAATATATTTTCAATTTCTCCTGTGATTTCTTTGATGCATGTGTTATTTAAATGAACATTGTTAAATCTTCAAATATTTAGGAATGTTCTAATATCATTCTCTTATTGATTTCCAGTTTACTTCTATTGAGGTCTGAGAACACACTTTGATCTCTCGTCTTTTAAATTTGGGGAGGTATGTTTTATGGCCTGGAATGTAGTCCATTTGGGTAAATATTCCAAGTGAGCTTGCTGTTGTTGGATGAAGTATATTATAAATGTAAATTAGATCAAGTTGATTAGTGGTGGTGTTCATTTCAACTCTATTCTTACTGATTTTCTGCCTACTGGAGCTGTCAGCTACTGAAAGGATCTATTAAAGCCTATAGCTATAATCATGGATTTGTCTATTTTTCCTTGCAATTTTATTAGTTTTTGCCTCATGTGCATTTGATGCTCTGTTTCTAGGTTCATGCACGGGAAGTATTGCTATGTACCTTGGACAATTGGCCCCTTTATCACTATGAAATGCACCTGATAATTTATCCCTGAAATTTTCTTTGTTGTCATTTCTGATTGGTCTGAAATTAAAATAGCTACTTCAAGTTTCTCTTCCTTAGTGTTGTTATGGTATACCCTTCTCCATCACTTTACTTTTTTTTTTTTCTTTTTGTCTTTTTTCGTGACCGGTAATGGGATCGCAACCCTCGGTGTCATGCCCACACCGCGACCGGCAACAGGATCGCAACCCTCGGTGTCGCGCCCACACTGCACTCAACCAGTGAGCAGACCGGTCTCTATATGGGATCTGAACCCTTGGTGGGAGCGCCACCGCGCTCCCAAGTGCTGCACTCTACCGAGTGCACCACCGGGCTGGCCCCATCACTTTACTTTTAACCTATCTTTGTCTTAATATTTAAAATGGGGATCTTTTAAACAGTATATAGTTAGGTCTTCTTGTTTATCTACTCTGACAGCCCCTGTTTTTAACTGGTGTGTTTATGCAACTCACATTAAATGTTACTGATAGATATATTTGGTTCAATATCTACCATGTTTGTAACTGTTTTCTATTCATTCATCTTTTTCTTTGTTTCCTATTTCCCCACTCTTTTTCTATCATCTCTGGTTTGAGAATATAAAATATGATTCCATTTTCTTTTCTCTCTTAGCACATCAGTTATACTTAAAAATATTTTTTAAAGTATAATTATAATCAGTTTAGTAGGTGTCCTAGAATTTGCTATATATAATTAATTTAAATCAACTTTTCAGTAGCACTATACCACTTCACATGGTATACAGGTACCTTATAACATGGTATCCTCAATTTATAATACTAGTGTTATTCATTTCATTCATCCATATGCTATAATCAACTAATGTATTTTTACTGTTATTACATTTTACAGTTAGCTATTAGATCAATTAAGAATAAGAAAAATAGATTTTATTTTATCTACATTATTTCATCGTCAACTTTCCTCCTTTTTTATTTAAATCTGAATTGTGATTGGGGGTGGAACAAGATGGCCAACTAGAAGGATTCACAAAATGTCTCTCCCACAAACACAAAACAACAAATACACAACTACACTTTGATGAAAATAACTAAAGGAGAGCACTGGAACACATCAAAGGAGGAACAGGAATGCTAGTTAATGCAGAAACTCAAGATAGCTACATAGAGAATGGAAGAAAATATCTGACCTCCACCACCCCATTCCCCAGCCAGGAGCAGTGGGGAGCAGGAGGAATTTCTGACTGCAGGAGAAAAGTGACTGAGTGATGC